GGTGATTGAAGATCTTATTCGGTGGGTTTATGATCGTAAATTACTTTTTAGACTTATTTTGACTATTCTGTTACTCTTGTGTATAACTACTGACAGCATTTAAGTAGCGCGTCACTAGTTACTGTAATCGGATTCGGTGCCTTGAATGTGCTTTTTTTTCCTTTGTATCAGTTTCCAAGAGCATCGTATTACTCCCCTGAAGATCAGTCATCGGAATCTCGTTTCAATTCTCCTGCGTCGAAAAGCCAAGATTTTAAACGAGGTTAGTGATTGGGTTGCATTTTCATGCGAGATTCTATCGCCAGATTACAACTTCTTTTGGTTTTTTTCTACAGTAACTGGTTCATGGACATTGTGGCAAACTTTGCCCCTATCTCGCCGCTGAAATCCATCTATCTCTCGTTAACTGTCTATCTTTCTCTAGATGGCGGATGCACGGAGGGAAATAAATGAGGCTTACAATGACTGGCAAGCACTTTGTAAGGAGTCTCAGGAGTCACCAACGCCGCCAGCTCCACCATCCTCGTTGACAGGGCGATCAAGACGTTCTCGCGCTGCCGTGGAGGCCTCCTCCTGGATTTCCATCAGTTCGACGACTTCCTCCGCTTCTGTCACACCTCATGCCGTTTCACCTGCGAAACATGATCCCGATACGGGGTAAGTTGGGAAAATTATTGGTGCTCGTTATGATAGTTCTGTACACTTTTGAGCGCTTCTGCACGTGTCGCATCTTCTTTCTCACTCAGCGAAATATCCAAATTGCCATGTGTTGTGGACGTGCAGGATGAATATAATCGTCGACGTCAGTTGTCCCTATTGCATGCCGCATGGAAAAAGTTCGACCCGATGCAAGTGACCCTTACGAAAATTAATCGTCAACTAGAGGTCCTGGAGCAGAATCCACCTCGGTAGGTTTGCTGAACCCCATTCCAGCTATTTATCCATTCCTTATCGCCTAATCAACCACATGAATGTCATTTCTACTTAGTGACGTGTACTTAACCAATTCCGAACGAAATCTCATTGACTGGCACTTGGCCAATCTTGAGTTTGCCAACGCTACAGAATTACAAAACCTCTCCCTCATTCATTGGGATCAGGATGACGCCTACGAGCTGGGCGGAGACCACTGCATCGTTCAAGGCGGTTTTGGTCAAATAATGGACGTCCTCACCAGTTCCTCTGGTACTTCTGGCACACTGAGACCTGCTGTTGACAACCCCTGTGGTCAAATTGAACTCAAATCCTCCGTCAAGGAAATTTCAATCAGTGATTCTGGTAAGGCTTGGCTAATCTACAGTAGCATCTTTATTGCACTAAGTTCAGAGTCAAACTTTCATGCTTTCACTTGAAAAGGTGTCAGGGTATCGTGTTTGAACAAAGCCGTGAGTGAGGATGAGCTTATCGCTCACAATGGCGATGCAGTGCTCTGCGCACTACCATTGGGTGTTCTAAAGGAGTCTGTCAAGATCTTAAATAGAGAGAGGAAGCCACACCAGACGGAGTTGACAGCGCTCAGCGCCCCCTATTTTAATCCCCCTCTTCCTTCGTGGAAATGCGAGTCAATTGAGCGGGCTGGCTTTGGAACGCTGAACAAGGTCTGTTTGAATGCCATTTAGCACATTCTTTTCTTGCTTACCAAAATGGCTTCCACATCCCCTTACTGAATTGGTGAATTCTGAAAACCAGGGGATTAATGGAGTAGAGCTTCGATCTGATTCCCTACGTTGTCCGTTTTCTAGTTGGTTCTCTTCTTCAATGACTTCTTTTGGGATCGCAACGAGCGAGTCTTTGGCTAT